TATGTTTAATTTAGGATAATTCGAACCTACCCAAGCCTTTATCTGTCTCAGTTTGAGCCTACCCAAGCCTATCCGACTCCAATCTAGAGTAGGCTCGAGCCTACCCAGGCCTCGTGGCTCCGCCGTCTATGCCTACCAGGTATACTATCTTCGGCTATCTGTTAAATTTTTACTTTCTTCCATTTCTAAAAACTATTGAGAGCTCTGGTCTTAATGTTCTCTTTAGTCTTTTTTTCTTGTTAAATAAATACGTTCTTTTTCATCTAATTACACCATCTAGATCTTCCTCTTCTGTTTCATAGTTACCTATTTGAACCAACCAATTTTTTTTCCTTTTCTATTATTGCCATGACAGGCAACCAGTGTATGTTGATGATATATTCATTGACAGGCAGTGCATGCCATGCAGAGACACCAAATTTCGTCTCGAGAAACTTGATGTTGTCTTTAAATCTGCCAACACATTAAGCTGAAGGACGAGTGGATGGAATGAAAAGAACACTTTTACACACTCACCTACATTACTCTACTCTCAATTAGAGTCCGTAGTTACATGTAGAGATGCAACGATGACGATCATTTACAAATGTATCGTCACCGGTGCGTCCCTAGTTACATGTGAGTCGTTGGACTTATCAGAGTTACTTCACAACTTCCGTTCGCATCCTTCTGTGAGTAATATACTTCTGAGAAAATAATTTTAGTCGATTTTTTAAATCTATTGTCACCACAAAAACACATTTAAAAAAATTTATTGTATATTCTGAAAGCACTCGATTCTTCCTATCACCCTATATATTTGTATTTTAAATAGCGCCCACTGGTTGAAAAATAAATCCACTACAATGAAGACATTCCTCATCGTCAAATTCCCATGAATAGAATTTTTGTTATTGGCTCCTCAATTGATTTCTTAAATTTATCATTATTATAGCAATAATTCTGTAAAAAAAAGTAATTATATAATCTGACATAGCTTGAAATTCGTTAGTATCCTATATATTTATCTATTGTTGTATATTTTCTTATGTGAACAATAATTCGATTACATCACAGAAACTTTCAATTACTTATGAGAAGTGTCAGAGTTCATTATATTTTGTACTTCAAGTTACATTTACTACAGGAATAAATTTTTATGTATGTAATTATACATTATGATAACGATCGTAATTCTTTATCCTGCCTAACTTTTGAAATTAAAAAAAAAAAGATAGTTGACACATCTAGTTTTTTTAAGTTTGTCAACGGATGTATCTAGGTAGTATCCACAATATTCATCAGAACATAAATATAACATATAGCAAAAGTATACAGGATACTAGAGAATTTCAAGTTCTATGAGAATATATAATAATTTTTTTTAAATGTTTTGTCATATTGAGATAATAGATTTAAAAATCGACTAAAACTGTTTTTTTCTAAGGTATATAATAGTATGATATGATGGGACAACATCAATCTGTTCATTAATTTTTTTTTTATAGAAAGATTTTCTAGGTTTTAAATGGGTGGTCCTGGTGTAATTGATGGCAAAGAACATCCAGAAACAGATAATTTTCTACCATGTAAATTTGTTATTGGTGGAATAACATATTCATCAGCCGAAAATTATTTTCAATGTGCTAAAACAACAAACGAACAAGATCGAGAAAAGATTTTAAATTCAGGACCAGGTGATTCATGTCTATTAGCTGGACAAACAGTTCAACTTCGATCAGATTGGGAATCGATTA